AAATAACTTGACCTTTATAAAACAAATCACCATTGCCTCTTTCGCTTGACCTCATACACCTCAGAACTGTACTAATTCTAGTACACTCTTATGAACTTTAGTATACCATATTGGTCCATCCATATAAAGTGTCTCCCTGCTATTAGTTCTCCGTCCATATCTTTCTCCTAAAGTAGGAAGATATATGACAATGATATCTGGCACCATGACCAATTACGTGCTGTTTCTTATAAGAAGCTATTTTACAAGCTGATCCAGCGGGTGTTGAGATTGTGATCTTCCCGTTAAGGCATGGTGGTGTGACGATCGTCTGGATGGTGTTACAATGATCGTCTAAGGAAAGTTGCCACCACTTATTTGGATGTACAGACTGGACTGTACTCCATCTTAGCTAACCCTTATCAGTTACCAATCACAATCATTTATTTGAATATATAAACTGGGCTGTACTCTATCTTATTCAATCCCGCACAACACATTCCTTTCCTGTTAACTGTCAAATAAGGAAGCTTTGAAGAAGAGCATTGGATCGACATCACTCCTGCAAAGCATGGCTAATCAGCGGTTTATGTGAGGAGTTGTGCCCTGTTTGGCATTTATGCCCCTAGATTTGGCAGCCTAAGTCAACCAGATCTGCATGGAGTGTCTACCAGGAGATTAACGTAGTTCCGATAAAGGGTGGAGGTCATGGGCCCTACCTGGAAAAGACGATCCGTTAAGAAGTTGTGCCTCACTTGGCCATAAGAGCCCTTGGATTTGGTAGCTAAAAGCCAACCAGCAGTTAAAACCGGAGCAATTTACTAGGGAACATATCACGTTGGGGGCTGCATGTATGCAAGATTAGGTGAGCGAAAAAAGGTGTGATGTGATAAGCAACTTTAGGAAACAGTTAACAGTATTCATTGCCCTTATACAAATATGGACCAGTAGGCAGGTGGTTTAAAACTAGTGATAGGATTTCCACCCCCTAGATAGGTCTCTCCAAAAATACATGAGTCCACTTTACAAGTGGCGCTAGTATCGCTGGGGTAATAAAAGTAGATAGGCTAGCATTTAGCTGTTGTAATAGCAATAAACGATGTTTGATGTATATATAATTGATAAATATTTCAATAAAAACCATGCATCTAATGCCATTCTACTATAAAAAAAAAATACTTTACTAATCAAAACTAATTTAACAAACTTTAAAATCAAAAAAAAAAATTTATTTTGGATTATTTTAATTCAATATTTGCTTAAATATAATTATAATTAAATATGTTTTAAAATACAAGTGATAAAAATAAATATAATATTTTTTTAAGATTTAAAATAAAAATAGTAAGATATATAATTGTTTTATTAATTCTTGTAAAATAAAGACTTTCTTATAATAATACAATTGAAATTAAATTAGATAGTTAAAAACTAATAATAAGATTTTTATTTTTTAAGAATTTCACTGATATGTGAAATTACTTTTTTAATGCAACTTTTGTATATTAAATAATTTATAGATATTAAAATGGATTAATTAAATAAATCTTAAAATATTTAATATTTAAAAATAAATTACTTAAATAAAAACTATACATTGTTACCTTTTATTTAAAAAAATATTTGTATATAAATACAAATAATTATATAATAAGAGAATATCAAAAAATAATCATAAAATATTATTAAAAAAAACAGTTATATTTTTATTTATTTATTTTTTAAGGTAAACATACATTGATGTAAATCTTTATTAATATATAATATTTAGATATGACATCAAGTGTCTTTTACATATGAAATTATCAATTGAAATATATATTATGTCTTTTATATATAGAATTAATACTGCCTATTGACTATTTCTAGTAATAGCTTACCTATTCACCTTATTAATCCAATTATATCAACTTACATTTCATGGGTGGGTCCACACTTTGGATGGGACAAATTCAGGAGGTGAAAATCCCACCATCAGTTTTAAACCTACCTTTCTTCTAAGTTCAGATTTAGCAATCTTGTGGTTACTTGCTGTTTGAAAATTATAAAGTATTATTATAGAGACCAACTTCAATTACTCTAGTCACCTGTTATCATCAGTCCTTGGAATGCATCACTAGCATAGTATAATACAATTATTCTCACCACCTGTGGCTATGGCATCCTTGTTTGGATTCTTAATTATTCTTGTTTTGATTCTCAATAGACTCACTTGGCTTAATGATTTTTGTCTATCTTCTTATCACCTGTGGCTGATGGTCTTGTCTTGTGTGACCCATATTTTTAAGCTTGTAGAGTATCAGTATGGGATAGACCTCAAAATATCAGATTAAAATAGACTGGTTTAGGATCTGCCTCTTTTGTTCACACTGTGCTATGGAATCTGTTGTGCCAAGAGGATGAAGTTTGATAGGCTTTTGTCAAAGTTAAACAAGAAACCTTTCCTTATGCAATCTTTCTTGCTTTGACCTGTTTCAGCTTGTGATCATTAGAAAGATCAGAGATCCCATTTTCATGCAGCCTAACTGAATTTGATCATGATTCAGATCATACATGTGTTCATATTACCATAAAAAAAATTTGATCGACAATACAATTTCGAATTAAATACAAATTCCAATTATTTACTATATGTTACTTAGTAATTCTACCATAATACAGTTTTTTAAAAATGGTTGAATTCAATTCCACCACATATATAATCCGGATGTTTGGGTATGACATTTGTGGCAATCCAGTAAATCCATAAATGAAAGATAAATTTATGTGTTTTGCCTCCTGTGGATATTGAATTAGGTACATGCATTTGAAGACCATGGAATACTACTTACTGTGCTATTGATCCACTGGTCACAATTATGTTTTTATTTATAATTTAATATAATAATTAAATTATACAAAGTTTTAAAAACAGATATTTAAATATATAAAAAATATATATATTTATAATTATTTTTTTTAATTTATTATTATTATTTATTTAAAAAAATTTATGTTTTTAAATGTAATACACATTTTTAAAATAGTTAATAAAAAAAATTTTTTTTATTTATACCAAAACCGATTATAAATAATTTTCAAAAAAATTTTAGAATCGATGTTAGAATTTTCTTTAAACATAAAATATATAAATTTGAATATTGTATCTTAAAAATATATTAATAAATATATTTTTTTGTTTATATAAATTTTTATTTATTAATTTAATAATAAAATTTAATAAAAATTTTGGCAAAACTTTAGCAACACCCTGTATATTCTAGCTTAAGAAACAAAAATATCCATTTACAATTTTTAACTAACGAAAAAAGATATAGATTTAACAACCTTGTTAAAACAAATTTTTATATAATTAAAATCCCCAAAACAGAAACTCTTAAAGGAAAATTTGATATGTTTGCTAACTATTCTCTCCACAAACGCTCCTGTTCTCTCTTTCTCTTCTATCTTTAAGAGATTCTTTAACTTTATCATTACTAACAAATAATAAAGATTATTCTAATATACTGACCAGATAACCATGTGCTAATTATGTTTCTCTTTCTGAACACGTCACGAAAATGACATTAATTCAATATTTAGTCAAGCAACATTACATTTACCCAACGCACAAGTGGTAGACAGACCAAAAATTAATGAAATTAAAATTAACTTAGGTCAGTTACAAAATTTCTAATCCAATTCAATAAAGAGGTACATTTTTCCGTCAGAAATTATCTCTAAAGGTTCAAATTTCCCAAGAAATTTTTGCACACCATTGGAAATATGTGAATTCCTACCCTCTAAATCACCGATTTTACTTTTAAATTTTTCCCAAAACGCTGATGGCCTTGGTTGGGGATATATATTTAAAGATTTAAATATATCTTGGAAATATCTATTAGTATTCTGCACGACTACCAATTGTTTCTTCATTTCATTATTCTGTTCTAGCAGCCCAAATCCGGAATAATAGCGAAATCCGCTATCAAGCATTTTCATTCGGGTATTAATTGATAACTCTTGAAAATGTTCTGAATATCTATACTCCTCCATTCCGTCCAGAACTAGTTTTGACGATTCTTTAAAAACCTTTCTCAGGCGATATCTATCAGCAAGTTGAAATGACAATAAATAATTTCTGTTGTAGTCATTTTCCAAGAAAGATTCGCAAGTTTTGGTGAGCTTCGTAATAAAGAATTTATCGGCCAGGCGCAACATTTCTTCAACATTCTCCCATGTGATTCTAATGAACGTATTGGGATAAATAAAAGACAATACATCTTCAATAGTCTTTGCATTTTCATCATTCAACATAATAATTGGGATTTCTGAGCTTGTTTCGGTACTCGATACAATGGAATCAGTTTTCACTGCGGCTTCGGTAGACGAACCAGGAGTCCCATGGGTAAATAAGTCATTAAAAAACTCTGATGCAAACGATAAGTTTAGTTTATGTACCAGAAAATGTGTATTCTCTGCTTGTAAAATAACATCACCGGTGTCAGAGTAATAGTGAATAGAATTTTTTTCAGTCATTATTTTGAAGCCGTTCACTAATACAGTACGTACCGTATTTATTGATCATTTGCTGACGCCATACTACCGTAATCAGAAAATCAGAGTACAGTACTGTATTTTTTATATATTGTAGTATAATTTTTTCTTGATAATTTTGGATATTAGAATTGAGTGGATATCTATTAGTAAATAATTTTCGTTAATATAGTAATTACAGTACTCGAAAGCTTCTTTATAAAAATCAATTTTTTTCGTTAAGTTCAAATATTTTATAATTTATTAATCTTTGCAATTAATTAATTATTTAAGAAAATTATATATAAATATATGACTCTAATCTTTAAAACAAGCTTGACAAAAATTTCTTAATCTCGTGGTCATAAGTAATTAAATCTTATGTAGCATCCCGGGAAACTTTATGCTGTTCAGTACTATATCAAGAATGATGCAAAATTTTAAAAATTGTAAAAACGGAGAAATTGTTAAACAAAAAAGAATAAATAGGGGTTTTGTAAGTTCACAAACTATTAGATGTCATTTTAAAGAGTTGAGGAAAATAAAACCAGTCATAAACCATTGCTTACAGATAACCATAGAGAACGGTGGCTTTAGTAGGCAAAGAAATATAAGGATTTTGACCGGAAAAAAGCTAATTTACTGATGAGTCAACTTTCTTTCTATTTCAGCAAACAGTAAAGATATGAAACTTCCGGGAAAAATTGTGTTTTGAACTGTAAAGCATCCAACGAAGATTCACACTTGGGGTATTTGAGTTTTGGAAAGCTAATTTGCTTTAAAGAAAATCTAGATGCAAATTTTATGTGCACTATTTATTAAAAGATGCCTTTTACCTTTGCTAAAAAGTTATTTGATGAATACTCCAAACTGGTTTTTACTTTAAGATAATGATTCGAATTATAAATAAAAAAATTATCAGTATATTAGAAGACTAAAAATATTGTGAATTTATCCTAATCGCAATGTCTCCGGATTAAAATTCCTTCAAACGTTTTGCGGATTATGAATTTAAGAATAGATATACTGTATATAAAAATTAAAAGATTTAGTGATTTAACAATTTTTCGAACAAATGTAAAAAGGAATCACTGTCATTAAAATCCTTTTGTATTTAATTAAAATATTAAAGATTATTAATAACACTAATTATAAACTACTTATGAGATAATGTCTGTGATATTTTATATGATTTTTAAAACAAATAATACTATGGATTGAGGATTTTTAAAAATATCGCATATAGAAAATATGATGCACAATGTTTATTATTTAAAATAATAACAAATGTTTCAGAAATATTACTTTTGTGAATAAAAATACCAATACATGTCATCTCTATTTATTTTTTAAAAAAAACAACGTTTATTTATTTCTATAGATCATTTTTACATTATAATAGTAGTTGATAAAGCGTTTCTTTTTAAGAGAACGATTGTTTTGAAACAAAGTGTATTAAATCACTGATATAATGTACATACTGTATGTATGTGTTTATATTATTATAAAAAAATATTTATCAACAATATGATTCTAAATTAAATATAATTTTCAATTATTTATAATATATTACTTAATAATTCTATTACAATTGAATTTTTGAGAAATATTTTAAATTCAATTTTATAATATATATAGTTTGTAATATCATGTTTTAATAATTTTTATTTTTTTAAAACCTTTTATTATAATTAAATTTAAAGATTGAGAATAAATGTATAGGAAGGTGGATATATTTCTGTGTATAGTTGTAGAGTTATAAGAAGTTTTTGTACTTATAATTAATTATTCTAAAAAGAGTATAAGATCAAACTTTGATTTAGAGAATTTCTCTTTAATAATAAGGGAGTCAGAAAGTCTGAAGAATGAGAATGTTTGATATAGTTGAAAAATAATTGTTAAAAAAGCATTATTGTTAATTAGAAAAAACTTGAAAATTATTAAACTTTTTTTCCTTTAGGATTTTGTTAATTTTCATCAGATCTTTTAATAAATCAATCTTTGGATTAACAAACTAATCTTTTGGAACTCTTTGAAACTTGTAGTAATTGTAATAGATTTTAATTTTTCCTTAAAATAAGTATTATTTTAAGAGAATTGTCCAATCTTTAAATTAAGATTGATATCATTAAGTCTGTATAAGAGTTTTGATTTATTAATTTAAGAAATTTCTAAATTGATTCAAAGTAATTTTAAAGAAAGTAAGAAATAATAGTCAGATCTCAGGTTCTTAATTAATAATTGAATATTATAATAATTTGTAATGAGAATTTAAATTTCCAATTTATATATGTAATAATCAATAGTGAATAGAGATTCTAAAAGAAGTTTTCTAGATTTGAAGAAGTTGAAAGATAAACATTTAAAGAAATATTTAAATTTGATATTATTAATCACTTCACTAATACTATATATAGTAGTATTTAATGAAAAAAATTGGAAAAATTCTGGTTCAAGTTAAATAGAAAAAGATAGAAGGTAAATTTTTGATAGCAGAAGATTAAAGTATATTAAAATAATTTTGAAAAAAATAATAATAAATATTTTTAACTAGATCAGATCGGAAGAGCACACGTCTGAACTCCACTCACAGTCAACAATCTCGTA